TGGCTCATGGTGCTAGTAGTAAAAGAAAATTATGATGAGAAAGTGATAGTCTTTTAAATGCTTAGGCAGTTGTTGTTGTTGTTAGTATAAAAAAGTGTCTTATATAGATCTAGGAGTTTGATTTTTTTTTTTCCTGTATATATTGGTTTTAGAATAGGATCTGATAGAATATGGAATCATTTTATTTGAAAGGCGGTAAGTATCAATTTAATCATTAAAAAAAAACAAAATACAACAATGTTAATCTAAAAAAAATATAATAGGTGTAAAATGGACGTGAAAAATATTGATGGAAGTGGATGTCTTGTTGCATCCGTGTTTGGGAAATGTGCTGAATAACTATTACTCTTAACCAATTGGAACAACATGTACTGCTCTTCTTCCAACCACAAACACTCATGTTTTACATTAAATTAACCTATGACTAACTACATACAAACACTCATGTTTTACATTAAATTAAACTATGACTAACTACATACAAACACCCATGTTTTACATTAAAGTAACCTATGACTAACTACATATGAATCTTGCAGGGGGAACAACTAAAAATTCAAAATATCAATAACCGCTTACAAGATGAAAAATATATAATACAATTGATGTCTCAATCCTATACACAACAAGGCAAAGACATGGTATCATATACCATAACATCATTGCACAAATCGTTCTCATTCACTACTGTTGGAGATAATGAACCACAATCGATTTAATATCCGTAAAATAATATTTATATATATACACACGAAATATATATAAAATATTATTGGATATATATCCGAAATATATATATACACACAAAAATATATATAAAACGGACCCAACGGTTATATATACATGTATATCTACGAAAAAGATATACCAATATATATCAACCAAAAAGAAAATATAATCCTTAGATTATAATTCCAAAACAACAAGAAAGAACGGATTTTTGCTTAGAGCATAATCCAAAACAAGAAAGAAGGTACGAGTTAGGCAAAGTGCCTGTCTTTCCTTAAAACCTTATTTGCCACCTCCCAAAAGTGCTAGGAGCGTTGTGGCCTAGGTTTCCCAGGATAAAACGTACAACGATTCGACGTTTGAGCACCCAAACGAACGAACCCGGCGAACTAGAGCACGGGCAAAACACAGTAGCAAGAAAGAAGGAGTAGGAGCAAAGGTTTTGAGAAGGAAAAATGCTTATCTTTGTGTGTTGTGTACTCTCGTGTTCTTCCCACACTTGTTGGGAATCACTTGCTCCTACTACCTCTTCTTATATAGGAATTGGAGGAATTGGAGTAATTCCTGTAACGGATGAATTTAAATCTCCACTGTCCAGAAACAGCTCAGCTCTGGTAGACCGAAGTGCTGTTCAGCCGCAGCGCACGAGAGCAACTCCGAGCAACTCTCGGCCAGGCCAGCCAATTTCCGGACGACATTCGTGCCCGTAGGTGCCGGCGCACACGAGCTCGGGCTTGAATCAAGCCTCTCCGAAGTCATCTCTAGTTGGAATTTGATTTGCACCCCCCCCCCCCCGCGCGCGCGCGCGAGAGAGCCTCTATGCTATACAATTCTACAAGCTCTAAAAAAGCTCTTGTATAAAAGGGGGGTGAAATCCTCTTTCCAAATCAATGTGGGACAAAGCTCACTTTTACCTTACATTTTCCAACTCAATGGGTCTACTTTGAGAATCAATATCTCATTCACCCATTATCCGTTTTGAGCGTACAATATATCAATCTCTTCGTCTCACTACGAAGAATCCGAATCCACTTTGATCCGATCCAAATTGGAAGTGGACCCCACTGATAATTGTACCACAAAATAGCCACTTAACATGTTTGGTTTAAATGGAATAAATTTAATTTTTTTTTAAATTTAAGTCTAATATATATAAAATTTTTACATTTGATAACTGAACAAAATTTATATATGTATATAACATAATAACTAACAAATATATCCGAACAAATAACCTACTAAGTTCACCTAAAATTTAGTTTAGATAATATTAATATTTTTTGAGCTAATATTTAAAATATTTTTTTGGATATATTCATTTGAATGACATGTATATGAATATATAACATTTACTTTGAATTCTAATATATGTGAGATTTCAATATCCGATATCTGGACCGAACTTGTATTACGATGTAACATAATTAAAAATATTTGAACTAATAATCTATTGAGTTCAATCAAAATCTAAAACATTATATAGAGTTTAATTCTTAATTTTGATAATGTAAATAATGTCTAACTTTAAAGTGTAAGAAAATAAGTTATGTTTAAATAAGTATAGTAAGTAGAAAAGATAGAAGATAGTGATAAGTAAAATAAGATGATAATGAATGTAATCATAATAATGTAGTTATAGTGCCATATAACTAAATAGATGATAGATGATTCTGTTTTTTCATTTAGAAAACAGTTTTGAAGAGTGTTCGAGGAAAATTATTTTCAGTTTTCAAAATGAAAAATTGTGCTAGTAAACATGTTTTATGTTTTCATTTTTCAGTTTTCAGAAATTTTTAGAAATTTCCAGTTAGTAAATGGCCTATAAACGTCACTAAAGATGGAGAAGATAAGACAATTCCAAGCCTCAACAAAAGCCAAAAGAGTAATAAGAAAAATTAATTTAATCTGTTCAAATTAGTATACTTTATCAAACTGTTTTTTTTCAATGGTTGATCATTATAGACAGTCAGCTTTAGTTAGTGGTTTATTTGTTTTTACTTTAGTTATAATTTAGCTATTTCTAATTTCTTTATCTTTTATTAAAATAAACACCGAGACGATTTTTTGGACAATATAAAAAATATTTATGATGACAATTATATCAACCAACATATTATTTCAAACTTAAACTGAACTCCCTTTACTTAATTTACTTACCTATTAAATATGTGTGGTTGTATGGAGTAGTTTGCTATTTAATATCTTATTGAACATCCCACTCGGCGTCACAAAATTTCACAGTAACAATAGCTATATCTACATTGTGTTAAACTCATGGTCTTAAAATTTGTAGTATTACAGATTTGAGCATATTTTCCCTCCCTCATTATTATATGAATACTTTAACCACTTAAGAAACACTAATTTAAAATACACATTAGACATTAGTCTAAACGCGCTTACAGTAACTAGTACTAACATACAAGTTATCATTCATAAAACTTTAGTTACTATTTTTCCTAAACCAAATTGAGTGGGGAGATACCAATAACATAACTCTATCTACATTTTTCCCCCTAATTTCCATATTTCCAGCATGTTTAATTTGGTTCACATAATATATTTTGACAGAATCACTACAAAAAATTGAATTTTTAGCAACATATAATTAGCGGCAGTTAATTATGACCGCCCCTAAATAAGTATATTGCGGCGGTAGCATTCAAAAAAAAAAAAGTATATTGCGGCGGTTTGAGTAACCGTTGCTAATTTAAGTGTTTAAAAAAAATGGACAAAGTACCTACTAGGTCCCTGTACTGTAGTGTTTTGTTCAATTTAGTCCCTATACTTTAATTTTGTTCAATTTAATCCTTGTACTTTAAAATTTAGAACAATTAAGGATAAGACTTAACACCGTATATTTTTTCCGTTAAATTTGTACACGTAGCGTTGGATTTTCCATGTCATTAGTACTTCGGCCGAAAAAAGTGTTATTAGACACTTTTATACTTTACGAAAACAAGATTAATATAAGCAGTTTGGTGGTGACGTCCGTATTCTCTAGGCAAGAGAACCTAGGTTAGAATCCTGAGAGTTTTTTGTCCGAAAAAATATTGTAATGCCACGTCACAAAATCTGACATGGCAAATACAACGCCACGTGGCCAAACTTAACGGAGAAACTAAACGATGTTAAATATTGTTCTAAATTTTAAAGTACAGAGACTAAATTAAACAAAATTAAAGTATAGGGACTAAATTGAACAAAACGTTATAGTACAGGGACATAACATGTACTTTGACAAAAAAAATTTCAACCCTAAAACCCTCGCAAGTCACAACCCTCCGCCAATCTGCCCTTCTCCAAGTCAATCTCTAACATTCGATTTCTTCCATTGCCTTCTTCCATCACCTTATTTAGAGTGCGATTTCTCCCTCACAAAAAACAAAAGTTAGAAGATTGAATCCCTAAAGTTTGAAGATTGAATCCCTAAAAATCTAAAATCCCTAGCTGCTCGCCTGCGATTTCCAGTTCGTTGCACTGCGACTGCCCTTGCGATTTCCGGTCTCTGGTCTCCGCCTCCGCCCTTCGTTGCGACAGCGCCGGCGAGGCGATAAGAAGTCGAGAACACCGCTTCTGGACGAAAGGAGGTGTTTCTAGTTTTCTGAGAGGTTACCACTTGCTTTTTTACCGCCAGTCTGCCACCTCCGCTATTGCCGACAACGTAGAGGGTCAGATGCCACCGCCCGCTCGGCAAATTATATTATGCACCGCGGTGCATAATGGATTATGCACCGCGCGTCTTTTTTTTTTAAATGAAAATAAACAGTGTTAGTTTCCGCCGTTTCGCACCCTTTTGCAAAAAGTAACTCTGTTATTCAGTGTCATTTTGTATACACTGCAGTTTCAGTTCAACACAACTACAGTTTCATTTCGATATAACTATAGTTTCATTTGATATTTATAGACTCAAATATGTGAAAATGTTATTTAATTTTATTTTATATACACTATAGTTTCATTAAAACACAACTACATGATTATTTTGATATAATTACAGCTTCATTGTACAATATACACTCAAATATGTGAAATGTTATTCAGTTTCATTTTATATACACTATAGTTTCATTTCACTATAACTACAGTATCATTTTGATATAACTGCAGTGTCGGTTTAGATATATTATAGTGTCAGTTGATGTTTAATACACCAAACAAGCGGACTCCGTTAACTCTAACGGCGGGCCGTTTCTTCACTTAAAGAAACGGCGCCGTTTTTGACCGCGGTGCACATGCACCATGGTCTATAATATAACGACTGCGCCCGCTCCCTCTCCCTGCCGTTGCCGTCGATGCAGCAGATCAACCGCCAGTCTGCCACCTCCCGCTGCCGCCGAAGACATACTTACTGGGAACTCAAGGTAAGTTATTTTCAAAAACTTAAATTTACTGCTAGGTTTTCTTATATTTACTGATTAAATGTAATAATTTGCCGTGTATGTTTCGTCTTGGCCTAGTCATATGAGTATGTATTTCTTTTCTACTGAATTACTGAAATAACCTAAAATAGCAATTAGTAATTGCATGATAGATCAATTAATGATGGATGAGCGATGGATTTAGATTCAAGTTCTGCAAAATAGCTTTATTTATGAAGAAAGGTTTTTGTTGGTGGTATGCCAGACTGCCAGTGCATTGTGTTGGTGGTATGCCAGTGCACTGTGTTGTTACTTTTGCTTAATTTTTGGATTTCTTCTATAGTTCTATCTGGTATGCCATACATCTAAGCTGGACGAAGTGCACAACACTCCATTGTTGGTGGTTTTGTTTGAATTTTGACTATTTTCTTTGTTAACAAGCCCAAAGTGTATATTACTGTTTGTTGTAAATTTATTATTCTTACTAGTTTTTTCTGTCCTTTCATATTCTTATGCAGAGTTTGTGACACTACTTATCCTTGTTGTTTATTCAGCCAAATAGGATTACCTTTGCCTTAACACCGAAGATCATTATTCAGGTATATTGTTTCCTATTTTACTTCAACTTATCTAGTTGATGAATGGTGTATCCTTCTTAGATTGCTTTAAGCTTCTATTCCCAGAACTATCATTAATTCAAGTGATTGCAATATTTTGTTAGTCCAGATCATAATTGCTAACCTAGTTTCATTACTTTGATCATAATTGCTAACAAGAGAGCCAAGTTTGTGACTTTGTTCACTAATCCAGTTAATAAAAATTGCACGTTATGTGCTAGCATGAACCAACATAAATGTCAATAAGAGGGTTATTGTCTTGTTGATTGCTTATGATCTCTTTGCTTGAGCTTTTATATGAAATTGAACTGATAAGATGAGAATGAACAACTTCCAATTGCAATTTACTAGCACGGATTTAGAATTCAAAGATTTTGCTGTTGGCTGATAGTTCCGGTGGAGGGATGGAGTTGAACAAGGCTCATAATATGCAATGGATGCTATTGTTCTGTTATCCAGAGTAGATATTCTGCACTGACCGATTGATTTTATTATAAGAGTATAACAGATGGTGAACACTATTGGCCTGAGATTGTATTTAATTTTTTTTTTCTGCAATTATCTAAGTTGAATGTTTATTGTTTTTCTTAACTACTAATAATTTAATTTTCATACAAGGAAATTGAGCTCGGGCACAGTGTTAATCGCTCAGAACTATGGATTGACACCCTCAAAGTAAAAGGAGGGTCATTTGTTAATGAAGAATGTAGAATTATCACTGTATCACTGTAAGTATGTTTTAATTTATTTTGAATAAGGTTAGATGTTACACTGCAAATTGATATTTGTATAATGCAGGAAAAAATTAGAAATGAAATATTTACCAAAATTAATCACTATAAAATATTTACCCAAGGTAAAACTGAAATTTCACGAGTTTTACATAATTGTTTTCTTGTTTCCGATGGAATATTCTTATGCTAATGAGGGTGTTTGACATTGAAAATTTGATAAATATGATTATTTATTAATATTAGTATATTTGAATATATTTTGGATAATATTGATATTATCTAATTGGTTTAATTAGATAATATTAAAATAGTTTGAGCTTATCAAAACTCTTCTATCCTACAGCTTCTTATTTCTATGTATTGATCCTAGGAAAAATTCATAGAAACATCCTAAACTTTGAAGCTTATTCAGGAATCACAATAGGATCATGAAAGTAAAAGCCCCTCCTCCATTGAAGATCAAGCCTCCATTGAAGATCAAGCCATTTGAACCCGGAGGCCCTTCAATGAAGAACAAGCTATATATTCAGCCCTTCTTTGAAGGTCAAGTCAGTTGAATTCCGGAAGTCCTTCAGTGGTGGAGTGTTAAAGGCATCCAATTAGAGAATCAGACGACCATCCAGATAGAATACCAAGTTCGATTACATACAATAATATATTAAGATTAATAGAATTTTGAATTTAGATTAATAGAATTTTGAATTTAAATATATATATTTATTTCGATTTTCTTTGTTCACAGAGAGCTCCTACTGAAGGTTATTGTGACCATATTGCTTCAGTATAGGTAAGTTTGTAATCTTCCTTTCCTTTAATCTCTTAAATATTTCCTTATTCCTTTTGAAACTTCTCTCTAGTTCATAAAGAATTTATATATGACTACTTTAGTTTCCTAGAATCCATGTATTCTCTAACCTTGCTTTCTAAATAGTGCAAGATTCAAACTTTTTTAGTTACACAATACGCGTTCACCTTTCATTCATTCAACACTATACTATTATCTGTTCATCAATTCATACTGGAGATAATTAATGGGCTTATGTTATGTCAGTATTGTAGGTCATTGGATTTTACAGTTGACTGATTCTTGAATGCTTGTGTAACAACCCAAAATTTCATGTTATAAATCTAGTGTTAAGAGATTCCAAAGTAGATTTTTCACTCCATTAAAATTTTTTGCGAGCAATCGGTGTTTGAATAAAATAATTTTTGTTCCATTTTAAAGTTAATTCAACACCAAAGAAATGAATTTCATTCGAAAATTTCAAAGTTTTCGGGTACTTTGCGTACCAAGATTTAAATCGAGAATTTTATCCGAGTGAGACCGGGAGAATTAAAAAGGGGATTTTGATCAAGTGTTCATCTATTTAGCATTTGGGAAAATTCACTTTCCACCCCAAAGTAATAAAGAAATATCATTTTTAGTCTATGGTTCATGATGCATGGTAGACCACAAGACATCCAAAAATTCCTTATAAAGTCATCTTTTAGCTTGGGGAAATTACCCCTTTGCCCTCAACCAATCATTGTGTATCATCTTAGGGTTTTGAACCCTATATAAACCCTTCATTTCATCACATTTTCCTAATCTCATTTTCATTGCCCCTTCCTCACATTTGTCTGCCAACATCCAAGGAGTAAAGCTTCAACCTAGTAAGCTTGTTCATCCTCCTTTCTTGCATCATTTCTCTTCTAGTTTTCTTTAGTCTTTAAGAATATAGGCTAAGGATAGAAGGTGTGTTGGGAAGTGTAGGTCGTGAAGGAGGCTCAAGCTAGACCAAGAGGAAGAAGAGATCCAAGCAAGAAATCTAGTCTACAAGAGGTATAACCCCATGGATTCCTCTTTAGATTTGGCTCTATGAAGCCTAGTTTTGAGTAGAAATGAGTAGAAATTATGAGATTTTGATGTGTTAATGCTTAGAAATGCTTTGGGATGTGTTTATGAGTTGTTGAGATTGTTTTGGACAAGTTTTTGCAAGTGAAAGGCTATCTGGTGCACAGCACAGTGTGCACCAGACTAGAGTGGCGGCCCTAGCCGCGGCCCATCAGAAGGGCCGCTGGCTAGAGCTGTGCCACCACGGGACTAGGGCACGACCCTAGAAGAGGGCCGTCGCCTAGTCCCGGCATAGTAACGGGACTATAGGGGCGGACCATAAAGAGTCCCGCCCCAAGTCCCTGAGTATGGTTCTGATGAGATGTTGTGCAGTGGTCGGGACCTTATGGCTCAGCTACGTGTCGTTTCGAACCGAGTATTACGGGCTCTTGTGGCTCGGCTCTTCTGGATCGTCTTGTCGTACGTCTTGGCTTTGATTTGGTTGAATTTGGATTAAAAATGAGTATGCTATGAATGATTTTGTGAAGAAATGTTTCATAAAGTATATTTTGCTAAGTTCTCTGTGTTTGAGAAATTGATGATTTTGTGATCAAATAATGTTCTGATTGAGGAAAGAAGCATGATCCTTTGGGAATAGGATTTATTATGAAAGCATGATTAAAATGTATTATTTGATCCATGAAAATAGAATCATACTTGTTGAGTGAAATGTTTAGAAATTGCTATTTTTACAAACCGAGCATGATGATATATTCTTGAATAATTCATGTTAATGTATACATGATTTAGAAGCATGTTATGGAGGATTTGACATTTCACATAAGTCATATTTCAAAAATGCATAAAGGGCCAACGCCAGCCCAAGAATACTCTCAAAAACCATACGCATGTGGTATATCATTCTTTGATGCATTGAGAAATAGTAGAATTGTTGCATGCATGAGATTGATGCATGAGAGATATATTTATGTAATATTTATATCGGTGAGGTTTTGGAGGATACCGTTGGGACTATGTTCCTCTCGGGAGATATTTATGGACATTACGGTCCCAGAGTATGTAACGCGGCGTATTCCCACGTTACGAGGTTGGAAACTTCCCGCTGGGCTTGGAATCCTGGTTAGGGGGTGTGCACACTAATAGTTCGATACCTGATTCCAAAGAGTTTGAACCACAAGATAGGTTTCGTAGACGGTAGGAGATATTGAGTCGGAATTATGCCGTTCCCGATGGGGTAAGTCACACTTCTGTGAGACCCTAAGCCGTCTACGAGTATAAGAGAAAGAAAGAGAGTTAACAGAGACTCAAGAAATAGAGTCAACATAGACTCAAGTATGAGAGTCAATATAGACTCGATAGAAAGAAAGAGAGTCAAGAGAGACTCAAGTATAAGCGACAAAACTAGCACAGCGGAAGATAAAAACGAAACTGGATAAAAAGAAATCCAACGGGGTGTCACGCCACGTCTACCAAACACGGTAAACGCTACGGCAAACAATCTGCAAGTGTGTACGTCTATCCCAAAACACCAATCTAATTACATCGGCGCACAGGCCACAAAAGCAAGGATAAAGATGCTAAGCTACCAGGCTCTAGACATCGCGCTCGTCTAAACATCACATGAAAGATACAAAGATAGACATAGGACGACGCCCGGTCAGCGAATAATGCTAGTAACCCACCAATACTGTTAAGTATCATAAATAGATAGATATACGTCATAAAAACCATTTTCGAAACGGAATACATATATATAAGTCAAAACCAAGATCAATTGTCAACACAAGACTCATCACTCTCAAGGATAACACGGGAACACATCCCAAATCACAAAGGTTAACCACACGCAAGGAATAAGACTCACCCAACGGCAACACATGCCACAACAACACAAGCCTCCGTGACTACTTACGTCACGAGAGAAGATCACACAACGCCGGCTTCACAAGCCCTCGCAACATCACCCATCACGAGTTGGTATGCCTTCCTTATGCCCTGTTCCAACCTTATGGCTACCCCCAACCTTGTACCTTCTTTTCCAACCATTACCTCCAGGACCCCTGTACTTCTCAGTCCAACCTTATTCCCCCGGGACCGTCGTCCCCCACCAACAACCACCAACGAACACCACCAATCACGGCAACACATGCCCGGATAACACATGTTATCCTCCAATAAACGTGGACCCATCACTCAGGCCACAACTCCATAATCACGTCACGGCCACCACGAGGACCGCTGCAATACCTTGGTGCCTAGTGTCCCATACTACTAATCGTGCAATCCAGGTAGAGCCACACACGCACCACCACTCACACGAGAGTCAAACAACGGATTACAACGAAGGTATGAAACATACTCAATCAAGGAACGGGTCACAGCCCAATGACAACAACGATGAATAACACAAGTTATCATCAACCAAACGGAAGGTACAAACCACATGCACGCTAGCATTAAGACAACAAACTAGCATGCTTATCAACGGGGAAACTCAAGATAGTTCCGAGGAACACACAAGACACCTCTTGGTCCAACGAAACACAATGTTGAACACTTGGCACGATTCAAGACACCAAAGTCCTACATGGGTACCTACCATATAGTTCTAGACGTACGAAACATGAAGAAGACATTCAAATAGTTCCACAAAAGAACAACGGGAAGCCAAAAGACCAAATACCGAGTCAAACAAATCACGGGGAACAAACCCCGAACAAACACCACTCGTGTACCCGCGGGTGGACCCACGGGTAGTGCCCCACCCGTGGTTCCGCCCGCGGGAACACCATCCCACAGGCTATGTACCCGCGGGTAGGCCGGCGGGTGGTGCCCCGCCCGCGAGAACAACCCTGTACCACAACAAATCCCTTCGAGGATTTTCTTCTCCAAACACAAATTCAAGTCCAAAACATGGAAAATCTCACCCAACACAACAAAATGACTTGAAACATGGAAAATGCCAAGCAATGTCACAAAGGAACCCTAAACACAAGCTCTAGATATGCAATATCACAAGACAAATGCATAAACCCTCACATTTCATAGCAAAACACATGTATAATCCAAGAAATCACATATAGGTAAGCAAAATAGGTTTTGTAGAGCATGGGTTACCTCTTGAAGACCAAAAGACTTCACTTTACACCACAACAAGCTTTCCACAAGGCTTACTTTCCAAACCCATTTCAAGATTAAACCAAAAGATCATCAAGATCATTCCTTTAAGAAAAAGACAACTAAGATGGAACCAAAAACACAAGATGAACTTAGATCTTACCCTCCTAGATGCCCAAATAGGTGAAAGGTTGAATCTTGGAAGCAAATCTTGAAATCTTGACAAGGGTCTCAACTTGGCTTGGAGAATAAGCTACACTTCTTTTCTAGAGAGAAGGTAGAACTATTTTCTAGGAATTGTAAGGAATGAAATGAAGAAGTCTTCTAGGTTAGGTTACAATACTAATTCTTGGTGAAAAGATAAGAATACCCTTACTAACCCTTAGAAAGTGTAAGGAACAAGGGAACTCCCCTCAAAGCACAAGGTACAACACAACTTAAAGGTTGACTAGTCTAATTCTAGTCCTTGAGTATTAAAAATCAGGATTTTAGGAATTAATTCCTCAAATAAAAATAGGATTTATTACTCAATTAATTCATGGATTGAATGTGGATTTTTAGGGTATCACAAAAGTACCCTATTTTATATATGAGTGTAAGACTATATTGCTGCACTAGATTGCATAAGAATATCAGTATATTGTTGCATGAGATTGCATAAGAATATGAGTATATTGTTGCACTAGATTGCATAAGAGTATGATTATATTGTTGCACTAGATTGCATAAGAGTATGATTATGTTGTTGCACGAGATTGCATAAGAGCATGAGTATATTGTTGCACGAGATTGCATATGGGCATGAGTATATTGTTGCACTAGATTGCATAAGAGTATGACTATATTGCTGCACTAGATTGCATAAGAATATAAGTATATTGTTGCATGAGATTGCATAAGAATATGAGTATATTGTTGCACTAGATTTCATAAGAGTATGATTATATTGTTGCACTAGATTGCATAAGAGTATGATTATGTTGTTGCACGAGATTGCATAAGAGCATGAGTATATTGTTGCACGAGATTGCATAAGAGCATGAGTATATTGTTGCACGAGATTGCATAAGAGCATGAGTATATTGTTGCACGAGATTGCTTATATTGTTGCACTAGATTGCGTGAGAAGCATGATCATAATGTTATACATGATTGTATGCGAATAGAGTATCGTAAAAGATTGTTTAATGAGAAAATTAACTGGAGAAATTCTCTTGAGCACGATTATTTTGATGTAGTAGAAGTTCTACTTAATAAGTTATGTGATAAGAGTGTGATCGCATGTGAATACATGTTATATGATCTTTAAACATGATCCTATCTGTAAGCATGTGAGTTGTTATCATAGGGTGCAAGCATCTAGAAAGAATACGATAATCTAAAGATGATTTGAGATTAATTTATTGATATAATAATATCAAATGTTTTCTAAGTACATGCTAGAATGCTTTACAGGGTTGAGTGTGGTTATACTTAGCTTCGTGCTAACGGGTGTTTTCCTGTTTGTCTATGTGTTGCTTGCAAAACCCCTTTCAAGTGGGCCTAGCAGTGAGAGAAGATCGAGTTAGATTAGTCTCTTAGTTTGAGCTGTCTAAACTCTAGTTCTATTTATGATGTCTTTATGGATTTAGACTTATGACCCTATACTTTATGATGATGTTTGTAGACTGTTTTGGAGTGACGTATTTCCCCCTTACTTTTTAGTATTTACTTTAGTACCCAGACTTAATCGTATGTTATAGTTTTACCCCTTTTAGCCTGTGTAATCAACAAGAGTGGTAGTTGTGGCGGTGACACCATCACTACCTTTATCTAGTTTTCCACTGCTTAAATTATGTTAAAGTCTGTTCAGAGAGACAATTACGAGTAAGAAAAGTGGGGTGTTACAACTTGGTTTTGGTAATTTGGAAGTCTATGGATGAGTTGAAGCAGAAGCTTCTGTACACAACTCTTGAATGACAGAGGTTGAAGGTTGAATCCAGGGAGGAGATGTTCAGAAAGTACTAACCAGCTTTCCTCAGGTGGTTCAAACTGATCAAAGCTCTCTTGTGAAGCCTGCTGTAAACATGTTGGTCCCAAAGGGGGTGTGGTAAAAGTCTAGAGGGGGGGGGGGGTGAATAGACTTTTAAACTTTTTCGCGAATACAAACAGAGAGATCAAGACTCTTAACTAGATTGTTAGAGTCTTGTACGCAGCGGAATAAATAAATACGAGTTGTGTGATTGTGTCAAGTATATCAACGTGATAAGCAGTAGGTAAATAAAGCAGTAAATGACATAAGGCAATTTATAGTGGTTCGGAGGTGATGTAATCCTCCTACTCCACTTGCTCTTATCGTCCAAGAGCAATTCACTATATCCACCACTTCTTGGTTCCTAGATACAATGAATTTCCGTGATTTAGTGCTTTGATCACTAAGCCCACACTAATCATGCCCAGTGCCTCCAACACTGCTGCTTCGGATTTCACATCTCCGTGCTACTTTCCAGGATTTCACAGCTCCGTGCTACTTTCCCCCCGTCTTCCACGATCCGGTCGACGTATCCCGAGATCTGGTGCTTTGATCACCAAGCCCACACCAATCACGCCCAGTGCCTCCGACACTGCTGTTTCGGATCTCACAGCTTCGTGTGACAATCCAGGATTTCACAACTCCCTGCTACTTTCCCCCCGTCTTCGACGTATCCCGTGATCTAGTGCTTTGATCACAAAGCCCGCACTAATCACGTCCAGTGTTCTCCAACACTGTTGATTCACTTGTTTGTAGAAAAACAAGTTTCACTGACTTTCCAACTTGGAGACTTCTTGAATGGATCTTCAATATGCAGCAAGTCTCTCAATGATGAAGAATTAAAACACTCTTGAATATTTTCTCTTTGAGCCCTCTGAGTGTTTTTCTCACTTGAATATATTCTCACTTTTGAGTATAACACTTGTTCGTATGTACTGCTCGTTGCTTGTGTTGGAAGTTTTTTTTTTTTGGAAGTAAGTTGATCTGCTTCATTCTTCATCCTTTTATAGCTGGTTTTTAGAAGTTGTCCGTTGGAAAAAGACAATCTCAAATTTGAATTGTAGATCTCAAATTTGAATTCCAATCTCAGATTTGAATTCTTGTAGCCTTTTGCAGAAGATCTGTAGCTTTCTTAGAAGATCATATTAAAAATAATATCTCTGAATTTGGAGATATTCCGGCTGTTGCTTAGCATGTGGTCCATGTGAAGAGACTTAAAATATTTCTGATGCAGATCTTATCTTCACGTGAAGGCTTTTTAAAATAATTCTGGTGTAGATCGTGCCTTCCAGCTGGTAATCCGCGTGAAGAGCTTCTTTAAAATAATCTTGATGCAGATCATGTCTTCTGGGATTTTTATCTTCTGAATATATGCTTCTGCTACTTCTGTTCGACTATTTGTGTTGTTGAGACTTCATCTCCAATTGACTTTCAATTGGTTCTCATACTTCAGCTCTAACTTCAGCTCTTACTATATATAGTTTGATGAAACTTCATCTCTAACTTCAGCTCTTACTATATATAGCTTGGTGAAACTTCATCTCATACTTCAGCTCTTACTATATATAGCTTGATGAAACTTAATCTCATACTGCATCTCTAACTTCATCTTGATTTGACTTATGAAGACTTTGACTTGCAAACCGCATCTCTAACTTTATCTCCAATCTTTATTATTTAAATGATTTCGAAACTTTGACTTGCAAACCGCATCTCTAAGTATGATTTCGAAACTTTGACTTGCAACCGCATCTCTAAGTTCATCTCCAATCTTTATTATTTAAATGATTTCGAAACTGCACCTCTTTTGAAACCTCAGGCTCTAACAGTTGCACTGCCTTTGAAACCTTTGCTCCAACTTAGTCTCGAAACCTCTTTTGAAACCTGAAACCTCTGCACCTCTTTTGAAACCTCAGGCTCCAACTTAGTCTCGAAACCTCTTTTGGAACCTGAAACCTCTGCACCTCTTTTGAAACCTCAGGCTCCAGCCGCTGCACTGCCTTTGCTCCAACTTAGTCTCGAAACCTCTTTTGAAACCTGAAACCTCTGCTGAAACCTTAGGCTCCAGCCGCTGCTCCAACTTAGTCTCGAAACCTCTTTTGAAACCTGAAACCTCTGCTCCAACTTAGTCTCGAAACCTCTTTTGAAACCTCAAACTCCAACCGCAACCTCAGGCTCCACTGAAACCTCTACTCCAACTTAGTCTCGAAACCTCTTTTGAAACCTCAGGCTCCAACCGCTGCACTGCCTTTGAAACCTCTGCTCCAACTTAGTCTCGAAACCTCTTTTGAGACCTCAGGCTCCGACCGCTGCTCTTACTTTGTCTCCAAGTTCTATTATTTAATAGATTTCGAAACCTCTACTCCAACTTCACTTGAATTGATTTTGAAACCTCAGCTCCTACTTCATCTCCTTCTTAGTTTCGAATTACTTGAATTAGTCTTTATAAAATTATAGGGAGTGAGTTTCAACCCTGAGACATTATAATTTATACATCAAGCTTTCATCCATCTCGACTGTACGAATTATTGGTCATTATAGCATTCATCTTGATGTACTTCTTTCTTTCCATAGATGCTTGATCTTTAAGATAACTTCATGAATTTTGGTTTGCTTCTCGTTTCTTCGTATGAGATTCATCAGTATGACTTCTTCTTTGAGTTGGGCGTGTGGGCTTATTTTAGTATACATATCATATGCATACATCTTCTTCTTCGTATTTTTCCCTTTCTTCATATTTGTTAATTTTCCTTTCATGGTCTATGACACGCCTAGACTTAACAAATAAAATTAGGGATTCTAAAATACAATTTGGCATATCAAAATCTATTACAATATATTCCTAACAATTTCCCCCCTTTTGATAATGCCAAAATCCTATACTCAGTCATTGGCTTTAAGTCTTTTCGAAAAATATTTTTGCTCAATTTTATTTGACAAAGCCATGATGAGTTTAACAAATATTTTCTAGGAAAATAAAATTGACTCGTGAATTAATTTTAGACAAGTTCCTAATACACATATTGCATATTTATTTTCTAGTCATTTTTCTCTTTTCTTATGCGTTTTACATACCGTCTTTTAATTCACATAATAATTACAAGTTAAGATATCAAAAACAAATATAGACCACTTTAGGAAATTAACATAACTTGTACGATCATAATAAGGGAAAAAACTTGATAATTTCGAAACAGTAGTTTTACAAAACAAAAGGTTTCGAAAGTCATAGGATCAGATTACCTCTTTTGCCTCTTATCACTTCTTCCGTTATTCAGGACATCTTTGATATGTTCTCTCATCTTGTACACATCATTCTTGATATGTTCACAGAAGAATTCTTTGTTGACTTGTCCGACGAGGTAATTTTCATATGCTTCTTTCAGAGTTGTTCCCGGTAGAACTCCAGCTTCGATCCATTCAATGCATTCATTGGAGCTTCTACCGTGGCCAAGAGAATTTCTTGTGGTTCCAGTGAGTTTTTGCAAATCAAACCACATATCCATCTTCTTTCTCTTTCTCTGTTCTTCCTTATTCTTTTCATTCACCCAGTGAGCTACTTTACCTGGGGATTGCTTCTTGATCATGGCAGGTGCGTTTTCTTTGGTCCATACGATAGATGGTATATCGGTTTTGGAGCAATTGAACCAATCATCAGCCTTTCCTTTAGATAAACCTGCACCTAAACCATAGTTAGAAAATTGAGCAAAACCCAAACCACTTAGAGATGTTTGGCGTCCACGGCCTCGGCCTCGGCCACTTGGTGGTGTAGCTTGTGGTTGCCCAAAAAAATATTCTTGTTGTTGAGCCGCCATATGACTGAGATATTCTTCCCCCCTTTTGGCTTTATCAGCAAGGAAATTAAGAACTCGGGTATCTCGGTCTTGGTTGGCTTTCACAATCTTGATTCCTTCACTGGCTAAGTCAGAAGTATTCTGCAAGTTTTCCAACTTCTGAGTCATAGAGGATAGCTCAATTTCAAGTTGATTGATTCTTCGTTCTTGATCTTGTATGGTCTTCAGTTGCCTTATATGGCGTTCATAATTGATCTTCTCGGCTTCCTCCTTCTCTTTCTTTAAATTTTTGATCACTTCAATCAAACTGGCAGTGGTGTCAACCTTCAAACGGCTTTCTGTTCTGTCGATCTTGGACTCCAAAGATATATGCTTTTCAAAGATTTGCGTGAAATTTGACCTTGTGTTGTCAAATTCTTGCATCGCCATATGTCCTTGATCCTTCAAAGTAATTCCGATCTTGTGGCAGATTGTATCTCTAGATTCGGATACTTTGGCAAACAAAATTGTCAGGATATCATCTTCATCTTCTTCAGGCCGGTGGTGTGTTGTCCAGTTTAGATTATGTAAGGATCTGAGAAACTTCCTTCTTGAATCTGCTAGAACTGGAGTTTCCACAAGTTGTAAGCTTCTTCCTTCAGATGATTCGGCCATGGTGGTATTTTCTTGACAACTGGCTTCTTTTCCAAGATTTTCTCCTTCTGTATTGACTTCCTCTTCTCCTTGATAATTGTCAATATCTTGGGAGAAACTAGGATTTGAGAGAATGGGTTGCTTAAACAATGGTCTGTCTTCTAGTGGGGATTGGAAGATTGCAGTAGCTTTGACAGAGACATTTTGTACTGCCACTTCAATTAATTGTTTCCCCCCAATTAATTCTCTATTTTCATTCAGAACTTCTTCTCTTACTGGTTCTCCAATCTCTTCTCTAATCTCATCTCCAACATCTGCTCTTATTTCCTCTCTGACCACTTCAATATCATCTCTGGTAGAGACATTCAATTCGGTTTGTGGACCACCAACATTACTCAAAATTTGGTCATTATTTGCCTGTCTTTCGGCTTCAATGACAGTTATATTGACCAAATTTAAATCACCAATCTCAGTAGTATTTTGGTCATCACCAACATTATATGACACGGGTGCACATACAGATATAATCTCTTCTTCATTTCTTTCTCT